CGCAAGGAAACAACTGAGAAACGACTGCAGCTGGGAGACGCTCTTTACCACAGGTCATTTCCTGTGCCACAGAGAACCCGGGGTGTTAGGGCGGTACATGGCACAGGTGGAAAAAGAGTGACGATCCACGGAGCGGCTTACAAGAAGAAGCGGTTTATTAACAAGAACTAAACACAAAGGGATAAGAACAAAATAAAGGAACCACAAGTAGCCAAAAACCACAAAAATAAAATAATACGAAACCAAGCAAAAACTCAAAGCAGAACTAGCAAACAACTAAAGTTCAAGCAACATCAACACAGCTCAAATATCTACACGTCTAAGAATACACATTTAACAAAATGAGAAACTGAAGAACAGAATGAGGGCAGACTCTTAAACACATAAAGACAACAAGGGTAATAAGGGGCACGTGTGGACTATAACCAAATCAATCAATCAGGACAGGCACAGGACAGCAAGAAACAGGTGGAATAAATTCCTATTAACAACATAGGATCATAAGTACTAGCAGAACAGAATTAAAACAGAAACAAGGACAAAGAGCAAAGACAGAGATAAACAATACCAAACACTAAGGATAAAATAAAACCAAATAAATTGGCCAGACGGGGACAAAACAAATGGAACAGGCACCGACCCTAACACAGGGAGCTTATTCAACAAAGTAAATCTCTCTGCATTCCTGTCTGTCCATCCCTCTCGTGTGGGACATGATTGGATATGTTCAGGTAAATACTTATTCCATAAGCAGGGCTACCAACTTGCTGGAGTCATATTTTCAATTCAAGACAAATCTGCACACACATTTACATGTATGGAAGAGTTTTATTACCTTGTAAATAGTCTGTATGGATTTAAAACTGCCCCAATGCCTTTGATGTCACAAATTTTAGGTTTATAATGGAATAATATAGATTTGCCATTAGATTCCTTGCATGAGTGTGAGAGTCTGAAAGTGTGCATGTTGCACCAGATGCGTGAGTTAACGTGGGACCATGGTGGGTTAACAAAAATAGTGCTATTGCTGCATGCAGGGGCGGATTAACGCACAGGCTAGATATGGCTTAAGCCTAGGGGCCCCACGTGTGCCAGCCTGCAAGGGGGCCCACAGACTACTGTAGCCTAGGGGCCCCACGTGTGCCAGCCTGAAAGGGGGCCCCCATTGGCACGGAGGGGGGCGGGGTTGGGGGGCCCACAGACTACTGTAGCCTAGGGGCCTCTGTGCACCTTAATCCGCCCTTGGCTGCATGCTTCTAGGATTGTTTGTTGGAAATCCGGCACTGCCTGGGTGCTTGACACAGAAAATTAATTTGTGTCCAGCCCCCTGTTTGTGTCCAACTCCCTTGTTTTAAACTGTCCTGTGTTTTGCACTTTATGTCCTTTGAAAACCCTCTCTTTGTCACTTGCTGTTTGTATATTGCACTATGGTCCCAAGGAGTATTATTTTGCACCATTTTGCACCATTATATACTTGTATATGGAACATATGACAATAAAGCCACATGAATTAAGTTTAACCTGGCTTGTTGATGTGCGTGACACAAGCCTCAAGGACAATGGTATTGTAGCTAATCTTAAAGTCTTGGGACTGCCCAATCTGACTCCTCCTTTCCAAACATGACATTATAACCAGGTGCTGGTCAGTTTATAGTAGCTATGAGTGACTGCAGCTGTAGCCTAATGGACCTCTCTGACAAGCATTTTGAACAGCCCTTGAAAGGCGCTGTGTGACATTTTATATCACTTTTTTTCCCCATTGTAGAAGTCTGTGATGCTACTTCCTGTCGTGGTTGTTTTATTTCCTGCACAGTGCCTGCAGCAGCACACATACTTTGGCATCTCCCTCATTTGATTTCTTTCCACGTTACGCAACTCAATGGAGGCTCTGTCTTTCTACCATGGCACCATCAACAAGGAGATGGGAGAGAAGATCCTCTGTGCGACGAAGGAAGATGGCAGCTATTTGATACGTAAGAGTGAGTCCATGAGTGGGGCTTACTGCCTATGTATTTTGTAAGTATCTTCTGCATAGACTTTGGGAATCCATGTACAGAAATGTAAAGTGGGCCCTTCTGTTTTGCCCGGTGCAGCTCGCAGAGGACCGTTCAATGATCTTGAATTGTATATCTTGTGTACAGAGTACCCTGATACACAAATGTTGCAGCAAAGGCAGATTTCTGATGAAAATCTAATGTTTATTTGTTTTTTATTCTGAAGTGCATACGTTCTGACTTTATTATGCTTCCCCTTCATTATTACTGAATTTTGGAGTTATATACTGAATACTACAATTAACTCTCGAAAATGTTTATATACAACCACACAAGCTCACAATCATACATATTGAAACCACAGTTTCTGTTCCTTTTTCTATATAAATATTTCATTGGTTCACATATTGTATGAAACAGCCAAAGAGCATGATTTGCATTTAGCTTGGACTTAACCAGAAAGATTTAGATTTAGATTACATTTACACGAAGTAAACTGTTGTACATATATCATTGCCTTGGCGCTGTACATAAAATATAACAGAATATGCAGAACAAACTCAGCTGTATTCAGCTGTATTAATGAGAAAGGTTGCAGTCTATGCCATAAATAATGTAGTAGTACATGCTTACTTAATGCATTAATTAAGCAGTAACTAAGTGTTAGTTACATACAGATCTAATGCTTGTTCATCATTAATAAATAATGACATTTCATGTATTCCATTCAGGCACTATATTAGTTAACAGTTAACTCATTAGTTAATAAGACTACTAAGAGTGGTAAGACTACTCGAATGGGCAAAAATTACTTAACTCATTTACTACTCATGAACAAATCATGGTTTCCCCGTGAAATACATGAATTGTCACGATTGATTAATGATGAATGAACATGGGATCAGGAAGTTAGCCACTTTATCTGTCCTATTTATTTTAATAGCAGAATTGACATGTACCAACCTGAATATATTGCATATGTCACAGGTTCAAAGGTTTAGTCTACACCTACAGAGTATATCAGACCAACGACAGGCTGTGGGTTGCAGAGGTGAGACATTAAACACCGAAGACTGTCTTTTGTTTATGTTTGATTCTGTATGTGACTGGAGGGATGTAAAGGCAGAAAATTCTGATGCAACTGACAGTGATGGGGCTGTGAAGCCCGCCTCAAGTGTGAATTCTGCCTCGCATAGACCGTTGCATGCAAGAGCTCTGGTGCGAAATATGTGCGCAGCAAGAAGCCGCATCAACTGTCAGCATCAGTTTAGTGCACAAATGAAATGGGACTTTCAACTGGCTCCCATTTGTGTTATAGACAGCTCCGGGTGTCCAAGAACGAGTCTTTCGGAACGTCAAGAACCTGATAGCACATTTCCGCGAGCCGGACAAAGGCATCATCATACCTCTACTTTATCCAGTCCCAGCCAAATAACCAGATGCCGTGTCCTGTAAAGAAAGCCTGGAATGTGTTTGTGATTGGACTGCAAAATAACAGAAAAAAACCTGTTCACCCTGTCGCATATACAAAATACAGTTTGCGCAAGTATTGTTTCTTGATACACATGGATGATATCTGAAATGCCTAGACTGTGAATTTGTATAACATCTCTGTCATACAAACTTTTTTTTAAAAATCCTAAATATCCTTCTGTCCAAACTGCTTATCCAATACAGTGTCAAATCACTGTTGGAAAAAAAAAATTCTAAACTTATAAAATGGATGACCCAAGTTTTTATCAAACTATACTGTCAGAAAAAAGTACCAATGTGTACCTTTCAGGTAACAAATACTTTGTACCCTCAAGGGTCTCCCAGTTGTACCCTAGCTGTAGGTAAGTGTTCCTTTTAAGGTATAGAAATGGACTCTGAAGAACATTTTTGTACCATTGGGAGTACATTCATGTTATTTCACAAAACTGCAGCAGAGTTGCACCCATTTTTCTGATAGTGTATCTGATTTTAATGTTGGGATATGCAAACCATGAGTAAATCATCCACTGATTGGGTGGGCTAATGCTTTCACAGGAGGCATCGTTGAAGGATGCTTGCATACACACATGAGCACATGCAAGACAATTTATAGTATTTTGTAAATATTCATGCATAAAGAATTAGAGGAATAGGCCTCATTTAGATCTCAAAATAATTTTGATTTAATGCTAACCTTTAATTGAAATGGATACACATGTATTCATGTGAATTATGCAGTGATTTTGAAGAATACTATGAAAGGCGTTTAGACATTTAGCGACTGATCAATACAAATAGATCAGGTATACATTCATGGCTAACTGACATGTGTTGTGACAACAGGCAAAGGTTTTTGCTTTTGGTTCATTTTTATAGGACTGAATTGTTAATAATGTCAGTGATAAATGAGAGGACTTATTTTGGACAACAAATATTTTAATTCCTTTCATTGAGAATCATTGTAAAGGCTACCAGTATTTCTGCTAACAGTGTGACTTGTTTGAAGCTGAAACTACATTGTAGAAATTAAACATTTTGGCAGTATGAGTAAACTTCAAAAGACGGAAACTATTTGAAGAAGCTTTTTGTCCCATGTTGATGTGTAACTTCGAAACAGAAACCATTGTAGTTTTTTTGTCGAATTTATGGTAGAATAATTTGTCTTCTGTTTTTTATCTGAAATAATTTCATAAACATATGAATTTCTTCTACGGAACTTCTGTCTGCATTATTCCTGTAATAGATTAATAAAGTTTTTTTGTTCAGTCAAGCCTATTATGAACTAGTGGTGTCTGATTTTGAAAATGTTGTTTATCTTTCATTAGCCTTATGCAGGTCCGGGGACTGGGTGATGTGAAATGTAACATTGTCAAGCTGCGAAACGACAGGGTAAACAGCAGAATACAGGGACCTTTAGTTACTAAACTATGTAAATATATTTTGTTTATGTGTATGTGAGTTTTCATCCAACATTCTAGAATTCAGTATTTGCCAAAAATGAACAACATAGTTTGATGTTAATATATGGCTCTAATAATAATTTTTTTTTGTCATACAGGCTGCAAAGAAATAGGTGTTTTTACAGATGAGTTTGTTAATGTCTGTTAGTTCAGATTTACTGCCTGTGTTAAACAGTCATTTTCCTGCTGAAGAATGAGATTTGACAGTTAAGGTGTCAGATAAGCAAGTTGCAAATTTAATGTAACTACTGCAGAAGAAGCATGGGGAGAAATGGATTCCTGTGCTCAAGGAGTGGGTACCGGGTCATAATTAAAAGAAATGTATGCACGGTACTATTCTTAGAAGTTCGTAGTCTAGCATATGCATGTCCTGTAAGTCAAGCAGTGTAGACATCGCTACACTTTTTTCAAATGTGATTTCTCACCTTCAATCTCCACCTTATTTTCTGCGTGCTTTGCGTTTTTTTTTGTATTCTGACTCACACCTACATGTTTTGATCACAGTCTTTGCCCAGTGGCTGCTGGTACTTCTACAAGCAGGAGTCTCGAGTTAAATATAGGCAGTCCCCAGGTTACGAACAAGATCCTTTCTGTCTTTAAGTGCATGCATAATACAGTACAGTATACATAATAATACAGTAGAGTAATAATAATAATAATTCTACAGTAATAATAAAAGTAACTATATACCAACACACTGCTGAAGCCGCGCAATGTTTTCACGAGGGTCACAAAGAAGTGTGTGCGTTTGTTATTACGAAGCATTGTATTTAACCTGGACATGTAATATAATAGGCTTCATGGCAGTTTGTTCGTAAGTACAAGTTGTCCATTCGTCAGACATTCTTAACCCTGGACTGCCTGTACTTGTTAGGGGAAAGTGAAGCTGTGTCGTTGATCTGATAATTATCTCCACCCCATATCTGACTTCCCCAGCATTCTGAAAAATCTCTTTTATGATGTGAGTAGATTGTACTTTTGAGAATACTAGACTGTGTGTTAATATTATAATCACAAAATGTTATTCTTGTACCTTAACAAGTAGAGCATTGTATTTCTAACCCACAACTTGTGGGTTCAAATCCCAGGGAGTGCACATAAACTGTAATCTTCCATCTACTACTAAGTTGCTTTGGGGAAAAAGCACGAGCTAAATGAGTAAATATCAATGTGGCGATATCATCAGTACATTTCCAGGTGCTAAATTGGAAAAGCGTGTAGTTTAGAGACTTAACTTCATTAAATGTTAATGGTCTAGCTTGGAGTATTGTTTGCACATTATATAACATAAGGTTAAAAAAGCTTAAATGATCGTTTACACATTTTTCTTTTTTCCTGAAATAATTTCCCCTGCTGGTTTCTAAACATTTTCAGCTGTGTCACAGACACCTCTTATAACATAATACTCTCCTTTTTTGCCTTGTAATTAACGTAGTTAACCAAAGAGCCATAGTTACTTTTATTTCATTACAATGGGAGAAAATAAAGCAAAGAACTGAGGCCTCACACTGCTGGATTTGCATGTTTATTTTTGTCAAAATTGAAAAGAGCTTCTTCTTATTGAAATTCCCACACTCAAATATTTGTTTTTAAAATTATTTACAGCTATTTGCTGTGAAGAAGATGCTTGCCTCTGGACTGAAGACTAGACCGGGAAATGCAGTCAGTCAAGCGAATTCAGGGTCGTCGTTCTGCATCACATCAGTCTACAAAGTTCTCATGGGCCAGACGGAGTGACTTCTCTCTAACCTTAGCAAGGCTAAGAGGCGAGTTTCATCGTAACACACAGTCATCAGAACATCCTACGTCTTTTTTCAATATAATATTCATCAATTCAAAATTCACAGTATATACTCTCAGGCAATATCTTAAAATGATGTATTGAGAAAATGCAACAATATATGAATTATGTATTTCATAACTGAATACTGAAGCAGAAGGTATCCATTTGCCGTAAATTGTGGATTTTTGTTTGTCCTCGTGAAATGGAACTCTCAGAAATTGCAGAACTCACTCACAGCAATTAATCACACATAATCAATTTTAAGCAAATCACTGAAATAAATGCTACGGTCTGTTAAAAATCAGACCAATTTTTTTTTTATAGTAAATATGCATAATTATTACTTAATGTTAGTTAATAATAATAATAATAATAATAATAATAATAATAATAAATTGTGAATTGTTGAATTGTGTTTTGGCTCTAATCTTTATTGTAATTTCAGATGTGTATTTAAGAATTATTCTCAGTGGACATTTTATTAGATACACCAAGTACTGGATAATATCCACTTTTGTCTCCAGAACGAATACAAGGATGGATGAGTTGTCCATTACGAAATGCCCGATATAAGGATATACTGAGCTGCTAGTTTTTCACTTGTGTCCTTCCGATTCTTGTTAGCTCCTGCTCTGACTTCTCCCATTAATCAGGTGATTTTTTTCTAATCGCACCACCAACTTCAGACAGTGTAGCGCAAAAAAAAATAATAAAAAAAATCCAGGAGCGTGACTGTTTCTGAGATTCTAGAACAAGCATATCCACCTCCCAGAATCACACCACATTCAAAATCAATGTACGTTAGCATTTTTAATGCCCAGCAAGACAGGAATGGACTCTCCTGACTCTGTCTGTGTGCCATTATCTGGTTTCGTTTACAGCCACATGATTGGCAGCATACCAAGCAGGTCTTCCTAATAAACTGGCCACTGAGTATATTCCATAAAAAACTAAATGCTGTTTAAGCTGAATTGTGAACCTTTTTAAAATGCTGCAAAACTCATGAGTTAATCACAATAAAAATATATTTCAGTCATAAGAACATAAGAAATTTACAAATGAGAGGAGGCCATTCGGCCCATCAAGCTCATTTGGGGAGAACTTAACTAATAATTCAGAGTTATCTAGCTCTGATTTGAAGGGACCCAGGGTTTTAGCTTGCACTACTTGAACAGGAAGACTATTCCATACTCTAACTACAAGCTGTGTAAAGAAGTGTTTTCTCAAATTCAGTTTAAAATGTTCCAGTCCAACTGGAAATCAGTGTGTTGAACTTAACATGAATGAATTAAATGCTACTCTTGCTGAAGATCAAACCAGAGCAACAGAACAGACCATAAAAAGGCATTTTTTAAATGACAAATTCTCCTTATTTCTTGTTTCTCAACATGAAGCTTACAGTAATGTATAGTGGAAGTTCTGGTGTATTTTCATTATATATATTTACAAAATTACTGAAAATACACCAGAACTAGAAGAGTCGCCCGCGGACCTGTTCTAAAAATAGCACAACTCACCAGTGAGCAGCGTCTAAAATTTAATTTTATCCTGTTGCTATTCTTCTTGTAGTCTAAGCCTTAAAATATCCCTCCAACGCGCTTTAAAAGCGACAGGTGAACATCCGTGACATAGAAAGACCATATAAATAAACATTTTTTATAGTTTACGCCTTAAAATGCCCCGCCCCTCCACGCCTTAAACACATGCAATCTTATTAAAACACACTTTGTAAACACATATGATATGTGGATGTCGGGCTAAGGATATGAGTAATGTAATAATAATAATAATCCACAATATAGCCGGGGGCGCGATAGCTGAACCGCGAAACAGCGGGTTATCACTGTACATATAAAATTACTGAAAATACACCAGAACTTCCACTCATATGAGATGAGTTGGATCAGTGTATTGCAGGACTTGGGGCCTGTACTACGAAGCGGGGTTACTGGCTTATCAGGGTAACTTGTCAGATTTAAGGTAGTCTGGGCAAAATGTAAGTGAATGAATATGAAGTCCATTTAAATTCGACAACTTACCCCAATATGCCAGTAACCCCGCTTCCTAGTACAGGCCCTTGATAAGGGCAATGCAGGGGTGGGCAGTACAGAAATTAAAGATCCAGACCAAAACTCTGACTCTTCATACTCAACTGGTTGGTCAAAATAAAATCTTGGTCTGGATTTTTACTTTCAGGCCCTGAACATTCCACCTCTAGGGCAATGAATAGACAATGGTGTAATCAGATCAAAACAATACTTTTTCTTCACGTCCCAAGTCATATAATACTGTTAGAGGAAAATTATTACAAATATAAGCCAACAAAAAGTAAAACAGTAAAAAAATATCCATTGACCTGCGACAAACTGGAGACCCTTCTCTGAGGAACTGAGAGTGAAGATGCAGGAGGGCAACACTAATTGATCGTTGCAAATTGGTAGAGACCGTCCATATGTCATTTATCTTTGCAGAAGCCATCAAACGCTCCGAACCACTGGGAAGCACTGCGGTTTGCACTCTGGCTGTGCTTCGAGTCACACTGTCACCTGTACAGACCTCCACTCCATGTCTGAAGACGATGCAGAGTAGGGGAGCTTGAGACTGAAAAAAGGAATGTTCTTTAATTCATTTTGCGTCTTTTTTTATGAGTTTTATTCACCTCTGATCAATGGGAAATAAGGGCAACCGCACATGAAAAATAAAAACATTGCCCGAACGTGGTAATAAACAGAGCCATCTTTTAAACGCCGTATCATTTCAAAACGACTGGTTTCAAAGTATAAGAGACGTACAGGTGCACACGATCACCGAGCCGTTCCATGAAGACTGAGATGACTAACAAATATAGCACTGAGCAACACATCCCGGAAAGGAACTTTGTCCCACTATAACATGAACACTTGAACATATGAACTCTTATACGTGAGCAAAACACACACGGTCTACGCTGTTTTCTGTTATTGTCAACAGATTCTGAAAAGTTGCACTGTGGCCAAGACGATTCTGGTCAACCAGTCTGATCTTGTGGTCAACCGTTCTTTACCAGAAACATTTTTGTATGTTTTTTCTATTCCGCATTTCAGATGTATATATCCTCAAAACAAAAGGCACAAGCTGCTTCGAAATAATGCATTATATCCATATAATGCACAGACTTTAATTTTAATCTACTCTGTCATACGATAAATCATTTGTAGAAAAGTAAATCTTCAGGTTGAATAATTTTCATAGCGCTGCTTAACTCTGCAAAAGTGTAACTCGTCTAGTTTATTTTTCTTTTAAACACTTAATGGGTCAAACCATTGTAATGCTTGTTCTTAAAGCACTTACTATTTACAACTTCTCATGAGTAAATATATATACTCAAACGATTTTGAAACATACTGAAGGCAAAACAATATGTATATGTTCAAGTTACTTTTGGACTTTTTTAAAGATAATATTTTCAAAGAAGAGGGAGAATAACAAAGGTTTTCTCACATACCAAAAAAGATGTTTTTTTTTCTTGGTGCTGTATATAAACCCAAATGTAAGCTTAGGAGCCACTTTTTTATACTGATATAAAAGAAATATCGAGATTAATATTTGCTGTCCATGTTACTTTTTCAATATGTTTAATCAAATAGGAGAACTAGTGAATACTATAGACTGGAGAAGAAAGTCAACCCAACAAAACGCCAAGCCACTCCTAAAAAACAAAAGAAACATGTCTTTTTGTATAACAAAATCATAAGCTGAATAGCGTGTGCCACAGTTATAAAGGAACATTAATAAAATACCATCATTTGTCACAATTAAAGGCAGTAGGATAATTTGATTTCTCCAGTTTTCCTTTTGTATGGTATATATTTACAGTTTTCTTGCTAGAAAAACAGTAGAACAAATCATTAAATGTCTAAAAACAGGCAGTCTTTGGTGAAGGAAAAACGGGCAGGGTGATACCACTGTTACCTCCTTCCTATTTCACTCTGTCTCATGAAGTGAATGTTGTTGGCACTGTCAGAAAGTTCGAGGTACTGCTCCACAGACAGGACAAAGTAACCGTCGTAGCCCAGCACCTTCCCTGTGGTTAGCAGCTGCTGTTTCTCCGCATCGGTCCACACCCTGGTGCCCTCCTCACCCTCCTGAACCCTCCTCTGCTCCTGAGCCCACGCCCGCTCCACGGCCCTCTGTCGGGCCTGCTCCAGCACGTGGGCCTTCTCCTCTTCCGTTGTGGCGCCATAGCGGATGTTGAAGCACAGAGCGCCGTGTTGTAGCTGGATGTCGGCAAAGCGCCTAGTCCTCCCGTTCACCACCGAGGTCATCTGGGACACGGTGACATTGACGCCGTTCTCCAGGATGCGGCCACCACCACTGTTGCTAATCGTCACCAGGTCCTCCTCCAGAGGGCCCAGCTTGATGAAATAATGTGTGTCCCGACCCTCGATGGTGAAATGCAAACCACTCAGGTAGAAGGCGTTGTTGAGGATGGCGGCAATGCGCCTGCTGTCTTCCTTGGCTACGCCAATGATAGTGGCAGAGACAACGTCGTCCACAATGGCGAACTTAATACCCTTCCCGAAGATGGAGGATATTGCCGAGAAGCTCGGCATCCGTCCGGGTTCTTGGCCCACGGAGCTGCTGACCTGGGTCATGGGCAGTCGCTCCAGCGAGATGAAGGTCCTCAGATGCTTCTGGAGTTCACACTGTATACCCAAGACCACCTTCCAAAATAAATCAATGAATGAATAACATGCTTACACATGACTACCAATGAAACATGAAGTCTGACTGCATTCACCTTGCTGGGGTCCCAGTCCTGTGTTTTGGTTTGGGTCTTCTTAAGCTCATAAGTTTGTTCCGTACTGTCTACATCAGGCTTGGGAAACCCAGGAACCACATTGTGAAGCTGAAAACCAAATAACTGTAACCAGCTGCCGATGTCTGCAGATGATAACAGAAAGCTAGATTAACATGGTAACAAAAAAGCAAGCCATCCAGTTGACAAACTAGAGACTGTTGGTGAGCATAGGGACCTCTGTGCTGACATATAAACAGCATATGTTCATATTCCTGCACTTAACTGATCAGCTTGAACATTTGCTAAATCGTTAGTGTAAAGTGTTCAAAATTATTAGTGGAGAAACACATTTTCTTGTGCTAATTTCTGGCTCTAAGGTTGAGCATACCCTACAGTCTGTTCTTCACATTAGAACATCTGAGCACATCTACTGTTAATTTTAGAGTGTAGCTAAAATGAATGCTACAGATCTGACCTAAAGAAACCAACAGCATAATGACTATATTTGTGCCTCACCTTGTGTGAACTGAGTGACTTCCTGCAGATGTCCAACTGGACAGTTATTTTTAAACGAATACAGATTGAAAGGTTTTGGGTTAGTACTCAGCTCAGCCCACAAGTCATAGTTGGGAGTGGTCCAGCGACCTGCCACTACATCATAGTCCCTTCGACCAAGGTGAACCAGTTTCGTGAGAGGATCATAAAGGCCGCCATGGAACCCAACTATCAGCTTGAAGCTAGGGTTGGAGTCTTGGTATATGTCTCCATAAGGAGTGTAGAAGATCTCTTTCACGATTTGCCCACGACTGCTAAACACAGCCAAAGGAGTTCCCAAATTGTCACAGGCAACATAGTATTCCTCACCACTGCTTAGCTCCATGGCTATAAGATGACCTTGCAGGTCATAATACAGCGATGCAATTTCCGAGCTGGTGTGATTATATATGTGGGTGACCCTAGTCGGTTTACTGAGGTCCGCGTAAAAAAACTGTAGGTACTCTCCTACATTGGACCGACTGACCACCCTCCGGCCGAGACCATCATACCGGTAATGCACACTCTTCCCAGACACTTTGTTGTAGGCCTTAGTGAGGAGTCCGTTAGAGTTATACTCAAACACGTCATTGCCCCTGAGACGCAGGAAGCCGTCCTCATCCATTTTGTACTGTATCTCTCCGAGCCTGGTGATGCGGTCCCGCATATCATACCGGAGCGGTGTAAGTCGGGCGCTATTGCCATGACTGAGCAAGTTGATGTTCCCATTGAGGTCATAGCTGTAGCGCCACTGTGGCCGGTCATTGACGGAAACGGTCTGGAGCTGGCTATCCGCGTCATACTCGTAGGAGTAGCGAGTGATATTGTTGTCGACGCCGATTCTGATATCGCAGACGGTGGTTCGGCCCATGTTGTCGTATTGCACCGTCATCCAGTACGCGATGGACTTCAAGATTTCATATTGGACCTCAATCACTTGCCCGTTTGCGTTGAAGATCTTGGTGTGCTTCATGGCATGAGTCGTGATGACCTGGTTGAGGTCGTAGTTTATCACACTAAATTTGCCAAACTGCTCGACCCGACCTGATACATCGACATAGCGATACAGATCGATGGGGAGCGGCGTCTCATTGATCATAGCTTGCATACTGGTCACTCTGAAGTTATTATAGCTATAATCAAATCGGGCATTTACAAGACCTTCCTCACTGAACCGGAAGATCTGCCGTCCTACAAGAGGACCTGTAAAAGAAAGAAATATTAGGGTGAAAAAAACAAACTTCAAAGATACCATTATGAGACATAATAGCATAAATATTAAAACAACAAGTACATGCATTCTGGCCTCACTGCTCCATTCTGCCCTAGTGGCTGCATACTTACATGTTCTACTGAGAGCTCTCACACCTAACTGTACAAAAACATGTGGTTTAGAGGGCTTGGTACCTATAATTGTCCCTTTGTTTGTGTGATGGCATGATAAAAATGTTTCCTCCAGGGTTACTGCAAACCTACCCTGGAAAGTAGTTATAGAACATAGAGTGATGTTCATGAAATATCTGCTTAAAATTGAAAAAATATATATGAATGCAATTTCCACAAGAGGGCTATTCCCGTAACGATTAATTGCTTAATGGTCTACATATAGTATCTCTCTTGTAAATGGGGAAAATTCAGGTCTGTGTTAAAATGGGAACACCCTAGAAAGGACACCAGTCCACTGCAGGGCACGCACTTCTTCATATGCTAAGATCAATAGAGAGGCACCATTTCACCTAGCCACACATTTTAAGGAATGTGGGTGGAGCACTAGGAGGAATCCGGCAAACAGACAGAAGGAGAACATGTAAACTAGCAATTGTTCACATACACTTAATAACCTTGGCTATGATTTGGCAATAAATTATTCATTATATAAATCATATGAATACAAACAAATTGTAATGCTTCAGCATTAAGTACCTCTAACTGAGGTTTGTTAATTGCATTTATGTATGGTGTTTAACCTCTAATTGCAAAGCATAATGGAATCCAAAGACAATAGTTTTGATTACACGTGCAATATGGCTGTAAATATCGGAACATTAAGTTTTAGACCACGATAAATCAGATGTTAATCTCCTCACAGAGTCAGCCTCGTTCTCATTATCTGTATCCTCGACGGTCCCGGGCGCAGTTAGGCAAAACGACCCCCAAATGAAATTTGCATGATGCTGGAGTCCATAGAGAGACGAAACACAGCTATGAAGCGCAGAGGGCGGGATCTCGCCGCACTGTCAATCACAGCCTGATCAATCCCAATTGGACACAACAAAGTAGTCAACAGGCAATGGATTTTAACTGGTCTGTGACTGACAGTGCACAACGATCTGAATCTCAGCGGGGCTTGGCTTTTACAGTCAACGGGGAAAATTTAGGTCTCTGTTAAAAAGGGAACTCATTAAATTAATAGATAATCTGATAAAGTTATGATATAAACATTGATGCTTTACAAATTTGGAAAACTCTTTTGTCCAAAGCAACGTACAAGTGAGGCAGATAGCACATTGCAAGCATACATGTAGCTAAGGAGTCGACTAGGAGTAAGACTAGAGAGACTAGATTGCCTATATTATGGGGAAGTGCTCACCAGGAGACTAGTACTCCAGGCATCTTCTGGCTTTCCCCCATCTCCTCCTCTGCCTACGATTGGCTGTAATCGGCATTATCGGCCCGCACAAAAAGAAGCATTTGCTATGGCAGAGCGGAAACGGCTAATGCGAAGCTGCAACTGAGGGTATTAGCAAAGTAAGGCTAGGAAACAGTTAGAGGGGCTGGACCGGGGCGGGGCGGGGGGGATGGGGGAGGTGAGATAAGGTTGACAATCAGCTGCAAAGGCTTGTAAAGTTCTCAGAACTGAAGGAAATTGTTCATCAGCATCAGGAATTAGGCCATTCACAGTCCAAGGCCCTTTTACAATAAGACTGATGTGGCCTCCTGCATAATCACCCGTGATGAAAGGCGGTGGGTGAATTTCTCCTCGCCAGTACATGCGTTCAAGGGCACTATGACCTGTGGTTTCTCCCGAGATTGAAGCGACAGACAAGGAGTTTTTACCATGATCGTATAGGCTGGGGCTTCATAAACATTATATTCATGTACCAGAGAAGTTTAACTTTTTGATGCAAGAATTCAATGACAACTTCTGAAATTGAATTTTAAAGAAAAAAAAAAAACTAAATTTTGAGATAAATTATGAATGACGACATAAAAATTTCATTCACTGTTTTGAATAACATACAGTATTAATAATAGACTGACATGGTTAAGCACAGCCTCTGACTTCCGGTTTGTGATTCTCCTTTACTTAGAATGCAGTGCGCCAAACTTCTGCCAGCATACCTGTTTGCCTGTATCGGATGGTACAGACGAAGCCCTCCTGCATGAGATGGATGGTTTTGACCACGCCTGAGGCCTCATCGTATGTGAACGTGACGAGAGCGGTATCGTAGAGGATCTCCGCTAGGCGTGACTGCCTGGTGTACTTGTAAAGGACGCGGCGGCCAGTGCCGAAGTAGAGGGACTGAAGGAGGCGGCCATCGCGGGTATAGTCCTGAACGACGCTGGCGCTGTTGTCCGGGGGGCTGTAGATGTTCCTGTAGTAGCCCACTGACAGCATGGACTGCAGGCTGTGGCGCACCATGCTGGGCATGGTGACGGAGAGGAGGCGGTCCGTCTGGTCGTATTCAAAGATGTACCTGCGCTGGCTGTGCAGCAGGAGCACGATGGACTGCGAGAAGACAGACAGATAGGGCTTCGTGAGCAGAATCGCGTCGCTGACACCCCTGAGAGCGCTGGTATGCGGAATTATGTCAGGGACACCGTTTACTGGCAATCGAACCAGGAACAGCCCTGACAGCATCGATACATTGAATCAAGTCAAGGATACCCATGACAGCTTTGGTAAATGGAGTCAAGTCAGGGATACCATTTCTGGCGCTGGAATGCAGAATCAAGCCAGGGATTCCCCTGACGGCATTGGTACATGGAATCAAGTCAGGGAAACCCCTGACGACGTCGGGAATGTGGAATCAAGTCAGGGATGCCTGTGATGGCGTCGGTATGCAGAATCAAACGATGCAAACCCCTAGCGGTGTCATTGCATGGAAACAAGCTTGTGTTGGTGCATGGAATCGTGTCAAAAACTTCCTTGACGGTGTCAGTAGATGTCATTGAGTCAAAGACACCCATAACCGTGTTAGTACACGGAAACGAGTGAGGGACACTCGAGACGGCATCTGTACATGGAATGAAGTCAAGAATACCCCTGGCAGCCCTGGTACGTGGAATTAAGTTGGGGATACCCTTGCTGGTGTCCCTGCACGGGATCAAGTCAGGGACACGCAGAAGGGACACCCTCGACAACATCAGAGCATGGACATAAATCAGGGACAAACTTGATGGTGTTGGTATGTCCCATTATGGTCCATGCACAGGGGGAGTGATGAAAATTTTATCAGCAGGGGTGTGTCTGGACAGTGCACGTGCGGCCCGGATTGTTGTGCACTGGTGCACTGTGATGGAAATTGGCAGCGTGGTTCCATGCAGTGGTAGCAGAGCAGTTGTAGTTGGACACTTAAGATAAGCAGCTGTGTAAGGAGGTGCAGTAGTTACCCACATATATATCAGAGATGGCACAATATATTTCTTTCTAGTCTGATCTCAATACAAATAAAATCATTTTGAGTATCTGCCAATTTCGAGACCAATCCGATATTTTTTCTCCTTTATCAGCTACTAAGCTTTAAATGAGATTTGTATCGATACATTTCAATGAACATGGCAAACTATCTGCATTTAGTGTTATAACCCCGTTGCTTGAGTTTGCTAAGAACAGGAAAATATAATGGTCATGTTGCTCAAACAAAAGGTGTGTCACTGCGCTCCAGGACGGAGTCCACGGCCAACGGGATTTACACAAGTCTGCTTCTTTGTTTTATTCAATAACTTTCACAAAAATGAGCAGAAGTATTTCCTAAAGTGCAAATTGTGCAGTCTGTTGCCAAATTTAATATGATGAAATCAATCATGAAAATATCACTGTATGCCCGAACTAACAATTTCTAGTCAAAATGCACATACTGTACTGTAAGGCTCTAGTACAAAATATACAGTGGAGCTCAGATAAAACTTAAGTAGTAATTCACGAAACTTTAGATAGAATACAAGACTGAAGACATCTAGTTTGTATAAATTTTACTGTGTTCAGACTAGCCTTACGTACATTGCAGTCTTCTGAATTAAGCAAGTGCCCCAAAACTTTCTGTGAGCACTAACACAAACTAAGACAAACCAATTTTATGTATTCCTAGCATTTTTATATTATATGCTTTTATGTTATCCAAATCATTTTCATTTCTGTTTTTGGCCTTACTTGTTGTACTGTATGCCAGTCTGCGATCTTTCGGTAAGCTCCAAAAATATTTTCATTTAATCGTACATGGCCAACTCGCAGATAATTCAAACTGAGACCATCAGATGTGTGAATCCACACAGCTGCAGGCTCCCAACACCACTCTCAGACCACTTCCTATATGCAGAGAACAAATAAACATGTAGCCTATTTTATCAGGTTCATGTGTTTTCAAGGTCTAGTTCATCTGTTTAACGTGTTTGAAAAAAAATATCCCATGCATGTATTTATGCATGACCTATGTTATAATTATCAATCTATTCTAAATCTATTATTACCAGTTTAATTTTGTATTTAAAGTTTTACTGTTTATGTTAAAAATTCACACAGCAAAAACCAAAAAGCATTTTTAATGATATCAGCAGTTACCTATGATTACTTGTCAAAGTTCTGCCTAGATATTTAAAATATGAAACATTATAAATGTTAGTTATAACATTCTCAGTGGTATAATGCTGTGGAGACATCTATTGCATTACCTATTGCATTAGTCATTCTTGATTCAGGAAATACAGTTGCATTATCAAGCAATATCATTACACGCTAAGCAATATTTATATTATATTTACATTATCAAGCAAAACCATTACTTGAGGAATCTTTTAGTCTTTTATTCTCTTTTGCGTATGCGGGGTCCTAAGAGTGGTGAGGCTTCAGAGTGGTGAATTGTTCGGTGTATTCGTGGACCAGAAGGGGCCTGAGAGCGGCAGGACCGAAGCAGGGAGGTTGCAGTTGGTTACCTCGCGACAAGTCAGCTCTGTTGCACATGCGTTGCTGAACAACTAGCCAACCCATGGCTTCCACTTCTGGTTACTGTATGTCACACAAAGTCTACAAGAATTTTCACGATTTTTCAGGCTAGATGTAACTGTGATGGAAAATCAGATTGATTCTTGCTCCCCCAATATCAGACCCAGCACTTCTGTTGTATGTATACTGTATGTAGTATGTACTACAGAGCTGTACATCTCCATCCTGTCCTCACGTGTACCAAAACCATTCCCACTCTGTCCCTGTATACACCAAACCCGTCCTCATGTGTACCAAAACCGTCCGCACCTTATCTCCGCATGTACCAAAACCGTCCCCACCCAATCCTCTCACGTGTACCAAAACCGTCCCCACCCCATCCTCTCACGTGTACCAAAACCATCCCCACCCCATCTTCTCATGTGTACCAAAACCATCCCCACCCTATCTCCACATGCACCAAAACCGTCCACACCCTATCTCCAAGTGCACCAAAACTGTCCTCACCCAATCCTCTCATGTGTACCAAAACCGTCCCCCCCCTAACTCCGCATGCACCAAAACCATCCCCCCCGTCTCTGCGTGCGCCAAAACCATCAGACCTGACACACATGCTCCTCATTCAATATAGTAACAGCACATAGTAAGATCAGGTACGATGACTCAGTATTGAATTTACCAGGAACTGCAGCTGACTCTGAAGAGCATAGATCATTTTTTTATATAAAACTGTGCACAACTCAGATAAAATGTCTAAGAATTTCACTAATCTTTATATTCTGGAGCACCACCAAAAGTATAATAAAATCTCGGGTTTAAAGCTTTTTACTTACAAAAAAACAAACAAACAAACAAAAAAAGCTCCATGAAAACAGCAGACGATGGATGACAATTCTGCCGGAATTTACCTTCTCTAGGAAGGTGTAGCTCCAAATCCGTCCATTGGCCCACGTTCTGGAGACGAGCCTGCCATTGTCATACTCCAGCTTCTCAGACCAGTTCCCCCGCTGAATGGTGGTGACAAGGCCAGCTGGCGAGTATGTGACATTTACCTCGTTGTATTTGCTACTGGGAGACCACAGGATGGGACGGCCCATTGGGTCATAGAGGATCCTGAGTGTAAATTTGCGATGGTCATCATAGATCTTGCCCACTCGTGTGGCCTGGTCAAAGTCTATGGACAGCAGATTTCTGTTATGAGCCTGATGACGAACACAACAACACAAGATCAGTGATGTAATCATGGAACAACAGGCAAAGCAGAATCATCAAAGCACTGTAATAATAATAGATACTTTTATTGATCCCCATGGGGAAATTGTCTTTACACCTCCCTCAACTTGCTCTTCGTATAGCAAGCTGTCTGTGAAGGGCAACCACCCATCGTGGCACCCAGGGAGCTGGGGGTTAAGGGCCTTACTTAAGGAGCCACAGATGTACTGAGGCTGGGTTTGAATCAGTGACCTTCTGATCATATGCACGCAGGCTTAGCCCACTGAGCCACACACTGCCACACAGCCCTTAGTGCATTTTTCTTGAAACACACAGATTTAACGAAATATACAGAAATCTACTCTAAAACAAAAAGACTTCTTGAATATAGTTTTATTAATATTGTCACAAGTTAGGGCACTTTACTAACTGGGGTTGAGGGAATATTAAACAATTATCTATATTCATTAGCTAAAACCTGAAATATACATATGTAAATTGTTTCCACATAATTTACATACTGACTTTGATTCCATTATCTCAACATTTCATTCCCCTCTAACAGCGTGGTGGAATGTGTTGACATTTGGCACCCACCTGCACTATTAATTTCCTTTTTCTAATACATTTCTCCTTTTATCAAAACCTTTATAGCGAGGTTATGTTTCCCCCTTTGACTGTGAAAATGTGGTTTCTCTGAGCTCCAGAAAAAAAACCCCAGAAATGTCATGCAAACAGTCTTGCTTCAGATTAAACTCGTATGAGTTATTGCAGAATAAATACCAGAATCTCCATTGTCGCACATAATTACTGAAACCAACCGAAATGGAGAGTCAGCCTACATCCACGCACTTTGTCCCAGTTTAAGTTGGGACTTACGGTTTATTTCCAGCGTGCGGTTAAGGTGGCTTTGAAACCGCCATTGGGGTTTAAGAAAATGAAGAACATTTTTTTGTCGGGCAACTTTCGTGAAACCCTTCTCAAGTTTATGTGTGGTTGCTTTGTAAAGGCGCCACAACATGGATCAAGATGGCTGCCATGTGGCGGGGGGTAAATAAGTATACATCCTCTCTCCATCTGTGCCCCCCCCCCATGTTCGACCCGCAGAGATGGCGGTCGCCACGTACCCTCAGCCTGCGCTCGTAGGCCGTGTGGTTGCCCTTGGCCTGCTCCCTCCTCTGCCTCCATTCGATGAGGCTTGGAGCGTGTTCACTGGGCAGCGTGATGTTGCACTTCCCCACAGCGGGGCTCACGACTCCGGAGGAGATGTGCGCCTCCGTACTGAGCGTCACCTCCATGCCACTGGCGAAGGTGACGCGGAGGGAGCCATCCGAGCTGACGCGGTACGTGTTCTGAGCATGGTCTGTGCAAGACAGGGTTTAACAAAGAGTCTCACACACTTGTTTCTAACAGGGGTTGCCAGCTTCGGTCAGTTGGCTGGATTCAGATTTTCAGTTCCACACAAATCCGCACACGTTTACATGTATGCAACAGTTTTATTACCTTGTAATTTGTCTGTAGGGTTTGCAAACTACCCCAACGCTTTCAATGTAGCTAATTTTAGGTTTATAATGGAAAAATACAGATTCGCCGTAAAATTTTCTTGCATGAGCGTGAGTCTGAAAGTGCGAGTGTCACGCCTGATGCGTGAGAGCTGGCAACCCTAGATTCAGGCCTTTATGAAGTCACTACACACTGTCAAACAAACTTCAAGTATGGATGAGGAAAATATCTTCTTTCTCAGACTTTTTGATATAATAATTCTTTATATGCTTTAAAACCTGTAGTATCTGTAGCTTGAAAGTGTATGTGAAGTAAGTATGTGGCCCCAGCCCACCTCAGCACCATCATCTGGTCTGTTTCCTGTTTATGCAGTCATGGCTTCACACTTTTGCAAAAATCTCACATGCAGAAAACTGAGCCACTATGGAAACAAAAGAGCCTTTCCATTGTTGCGAGATCGTACTGTTCCTCCCTCCAAAGAGATAAGGGCATTTCTAAAATTTAGAATACAATAAGTCTACATTTTACCTTGTTGCGTTTTCATTGAGCTATAATTGAATAAATGGATTCACTTAGAAAGATGAAATATTTGCATCGCATAAAACCACAGTTCATAATTATAAGCCATTTGTATTCCTTGACGGCCGGGCCACTCCCCATGCAATTCCCAAACCCATTAAACAGCTAAGCTGATTTAATATTGTCTAATTAAATGCATCACCCCCAGAATAATAAAAACACATCGACATACATAAAAACAGAACTTTCGTTATGAGACTAAATGAACACGGAACGCGATCTACAAAATGCGGTCAAGCCGACTGAAATTGTCGGTTAGTGTAGAAGAATTGCAGATATTTTGTCATTGGGTTAATATAAGTTTTAAGCAACCAATGGGAAATACGATTATATTTATGTTATGTCTGTGTTCAGCTTAGCCATTTCAAAACCTCTCCTTAAGTCACCCCCGTATTTGCAGTCACCATCCAATGCACCAATGTACTTGTCAAACTCATCCACCAGTAAACCTTTTTAGGTAACTCGTACGTCGTGAAGTTAACTGATTAATTAAGCTGATGAACTAAATGAGTAGTTGCTGAAGTTTAACGAATACATTGAAGGGTGGAGAAAGCCCCAAGGAGCGGCTTAGGGACCATAGCTGTACTCCTCAATCCAAATCTTCATCCATCAGGTTCTCAGCAACAATTTGGAGAACACAAGAAATTCTTAAAAATCATATTACTGCTTCTGTATATTCTGATATTCAGATGGTTTTCCTTTTGCGCAAACATTCATTTACTGCATAGACATCTTTAAACATCACTTCCTTTTGACTGCGTATGATTTTTGCACAGTAGAAGATAGTCACCACTGGTTTCCCCTTTGGTGAGCTGGTGAAGGTTTTCACTGCAGGCGGCATATAAGAGATGGTTTGGTTTGACACCTAGGGCTTCTCAGTATCACACCAGTGGGCCATGCATCGTTGGAAGACGTTGAGGGTGGGAATAAGTGAGCACGTTAAAGGTGTTGTTTTTTATCACCATGGAGTGTACGTGAGTTAACATCATCAAGATAACCACATTATCAAGATAACCACTTCCTGCCTTATGGATGAAGGTCCCTTTCACTGTGACCTCCTGATTCTTGCTCATCTCCTTGGCCAGCCATCTTCTTCTTCTTCTTCCTTTTTGGCTCTGGTACCACTTCCATGGTTTGTACACAGCACAAGGAATGAGTTGTACGCTTTGATTTCAGCGGTAACGTTGTAGGGTGGCGTGGTGACTCACTGGGTAGAGCTGCTGGTTCTCGCTCCCGCTGCGCGTGGAGCTCGAATGTTTGAAGGCCCAAAGATGAAGGAGAATCGAGGTCTTGAAATTGCTCATGGTGTGCGAGTGTGTTCACTGTTTTTGTACACCGCCTACCTCTTATGACTCAGGAAAAGTGGTTGAAAGATCAGTGGATGGATGAAGTCTGTGTTTATCAGTAATTTAAATAATAAATCTGCTAAATCCCTAGACACACAAAAAAATGACCTTAGAGTACCTTAGACACAGACATACATTAGATAAAGAATCCTGAATTCCCAAATCATAAAATTAATTTAGTTCAACTTACGTACACATTATCATTTATCATGTGTAAGGATGTGACGTTTAAATAGGAGTGAAAAAAAACCACAGAGGCATACATACCTTGACGCAATGTGTAAATCGTTTTGGTGGCTGAAAAGTTGGTCGCCGTAGTGAAGTTCTCACTGTTTGAGGTGTCTACTTCCACTTTTACGGACTTCTCCATGTTACCATGGAAACTGATCACTTCTCCCGTAGGATAGGTGACATTGATAAGATGACCTTCAGTGTTATACCTGAATGGGGGTGTGGGGGTGGGGGGAGGGCGCAGTAGATCAGGTTCATTTAAAGAACTTTAAGTTGAACATATTTAACACAAAGTCATCAAGGAGAAACCAGGAGGTGGGTGGATATTGAAGAAACTTCATAAAATGGTTGATTTAAATAAGCTTGGTATGAGGTTATGAAAATCAGTCGCAAGGAGTAAACACATATTGTGTCTGTGACTGTAATATATTTCAAGTAAAAAATATAAAATATAACTCTACAAACCTCTGCTAATAATAGAAAAATGCAATATGATACTTGATAGAAAGCCTGATACATTTTAGCACTCCTCCAATTTTAACCCACTGTTAATTAAAATAATTAAAAGAGGCGAATAACACTCTTCAGTTGCAGGGCTAATTGAAAGAAATCTTGTGGCTGCCTTCCGGAAATGTTGCTAAATACAGATACTGCCAGAGCTGCTTCATGGCGCCTCCCTGAAATTCTACACCCGAGCCACAAGGGGGCACTCATGTTATACTGATGTAACCAAATGGATGAAGTACACTGGGCTTGACTATTCTGTCTTCGGAATTCTTCTAAATAAACCAAAGCAATATTAAATGTCATTTGCATTGTTGCAAAATAACAGAAAAATGAGAAAAGCTACTTCTGACAATTAAAAAAGTATACATATATTAATAATGTAAAGATATGGGATGAAAGGAGACAAACGACTTCCTGAAGAAACCCCTTAATTTGCCTGCTATAAACATGTAAATACATCTGTTTTATTTAAAAGCTAAAATTTAAAACTAAGTTGCCCTTGCAGTGATAAATTGGGGTGAAATAAAGGTCACTGAAACAACGTAGTCGATACGAGGTCTGCTGGTAACTTCATTTCCCAGCTGATTTACTTCTGCCTTAAAAAAACGTATTTTTTGCTAATCAGAATTAAATTATACAATATCTTTAACAGATTTTGATTGCATTTACATATTTTTCTCCAAAAATCCTTGTATGTTATCATGTAAGAAAAGCATCATTTAAGCTAGTTCAGGAAATGTACACTGAAGTGTTACATTTAACTTTGAAAGAATGAAGACCAAAAAGCTCATACTCATAGACCATAGTCCAGCCGTTTTCATTGCTCTTGGTTGCTAGGAGACCGGAGTTTCCATGGTATGTGACTTGAGCAAGGTCATGACCCTGGGCAGAGACTCTCTTGAGGGCACCATTGTTGCTGATGGTGAGCCAGTAGACCTGACCACCGGGCACCACCAACCAGAGAGGCACCCCGTTGGCATCTCGCCGGACGTGGATGGAGTTGCTGTTGCTGCCGATGACGGTGCTGACATGGCCGTCAGAAGAATACGTGAAGTTGTGAATGTAGTCCCCCGTGATGAGGTTCTTGGTGTGGAGGTGGGTGCCGTTGGGACTGAAAAGGTAGAGCTCCTGGTCCACCGACGAGGCGATCTCGAACATGCTGGCCGAGTTCAGGTGAGGCCGGTTAGGGCTCAGGGCGCGGATGCGGATGTTGCCCAGATCAGCGATGTAGAGTGTGCCATCGGGGGACACTGCCAACGAGGAGGGTGCCTTCAGCCTGGCGTCCCTGGCATACCCGCCGTCGCCTGCAGGGAAGAGAAAAACGGCGATAAACACATTCAGTCCCTGGCTCACATTGGTCGGGCCCTGCACGGCTGCCCTATGCATAACTGGGAAATATGTGACTTGAAAAACACATTTTGCTCAACAAGGTCTTTAGGACCTGCTCGACGGGAGACAATCTTTAGATGTTGTCAGCTCCGGGGGAGGCACGGCGCATTGACGGCCATGTAGCGCCAATGAGTCGACGGGGGACAGACGCTGGCGGTCCCAGCCACGCGAGGTGATGGACAGAATGTGTATTTGTGGAGAGAGGGAAATGGGAGATGAAAGCCTCTGAAGAGAGTAATCATCTGTTAACAGCATGACATGATGGGAAATATGCAAAGTACCGCCCGCCAAAGAGTAACTGTTCCGCCCCATTGGTTCATGGCCTATGTGAGCCACCCGCCCGCCCCATTTTCAATCTAAAAATGTGATGCATTTTACAGCCAGAAGTCGACACTGATAGGATCACATTGTAACCACGTGTAAGAACAGGGAAGAGTGCCTTGCAGCCAAAAATATTTCAGTATATAGTATAGCTTTTAAATATCTTAGAATTAATATATTAAGGCATACAGACCCCTAAATTTTCCAAAATGACATCTTGTAATTTCTTGCTAAAAAATTGGGTGAATAGGTAAGACACTACCACTTAGTAGACTTTAATAAATATTAGCAACCGTGTTTAACCGCACATTGAGTACTGTTGAACTGTTGAATACTCTTTTCTGCTAAGGAGGTGAATGAATCCACCCAGTGATCATATTACACGTGTGTGTGACGGCTTTGGAGAAAAGTCTTGAGATGGTTGTGGCTGTAATGTCGCTTGAAGTTAGCACGTTATCCTGAGTCTTACCAAAAGGGGAGTCAAAGACTAAGTAGACAAAGACAGAAAATCCTGGTAATAAACACAGACCTCTACAGATGCTGGATACCACATAGTCTCCAAGGGAACGTGAAGCAAACTCAGAGAAAATTGACAATTTCTTGAAACCCCCCACAGCTAGTTCTATTTAGGTTCTTCTCTCTCAAGTATATTTGTTTTGGAGGCTTCTACTTGGAAAGTAACAAATCTGCCAATATTCCTTGCATGACATGGCCCACTAATCCTTTTCAAGTGTTTGCTATATCACCAGCATTATACTGGTCTTTACTGTTGAGTGCACTTGATACAATGCACTATTTGATAAAACACGGAGACCACTGGGTGTTAGACAACTCCCATCTTGTTCTGCTAGATAGTGCACCAGGAAGAAGGGATGATGCTCCTCCACTGAGTTAAGTCACTACGCTGGAATGTAATCAAGAAGAAAATGGCACAAGGCCTTTAGGAGACAAGAGTTCTTCACAGTTACCGAGTGAGATACAGGTGATCTTGCTCAGTGATATTTACTGCCGTGGGGCGGACAGACAGGGGATTGTAGCCTATATCATACCTGAGAAGCAGTCGCAGTTAGGGTCAATCTTGCAGTCGCATTCTGTTGGGGCCCCGGCGACAATGGAAATCTCGCCATTGGTGGTGACCTGCTGGATGCGGTTGATCTTCCTCTCATCAGTCTCGGCGATGTAGAGCACACCCTGGTGTGACACCGCGATGGCTTTGGCCGCCTCCAATGTGGAGTGGGCGGCAGCCTTGCTCACCAAGTAGTGGTCCGTCCCAGGGACTTGGCAGTGAATAGGACGCCCCGCGATGATCCTGACCTGATTTCCCTCCGAAACCTGAATGACGATGTTGTTGTCCAGGATGTAGAGGGAGTTATCCATAGGATTAACGGCCAGATCAGTAGGCCACTCCAGACGTACCTAAACAATAAGTGAAAATGGAGTTACACCTCCATCCAGTTGCCTGTCATCCTTTCCAAGAGAAGCGCAAAAATTGATTTGAGAAGTTTAGAACTACAAGCACCAACACCACTTGCTGGATATTACACTCACCTTCAGTAAATGCTATGATGTTATAATATTCTAGAAAAGATGCTATCATTTATCAAAATGATTACAAAATGAGAAAATTCATTTGACAAATAATAAAAATGGAGAGTGCTTATTTCTGTGGCAAACAAAATCATCTATGGGATTTACTTCAGATGCATTACTGAAGTTTACAGCCAGTACTGCCAACAAGCCTTTACTCATCTTATTCATCTTCTTTAGCTTATTTCAGCATGGAAATGATAGTGGTGTACAGTACCAAACCACGGTGCTGGATCTGAGCTCCCATACTGTTACATATAAACTTGCAGAGTTGGATAATTCAGGTCCAGAGAGTAAAAGTCCAGTCCGGGATTTTCTTTCAACCAACCAGCTGAGTACTCTGTGACTGTGACTCTTTATGCTTAGCTGATTGTTTGGAAGAAAATCTTGGTCTGGACTTTTACTCTCTGGACCGGAATTACCCAACTCTGCAAACTTGGCGCCAAATTCGACTGCCTTGTTTGAAAAAAAGAGTGATACCTAACTCAAGAATAGCCGCTGGTATCTATAAAACATCACTCGTTCAATAATTCATATGATAAATAAGGCACTGACCATATGTAAGGACGTTCCGAGAATCAAATTCAATTCTCTGTGTGAGTATGACTTTAAAGACCCATAGGAGTCCCTAATAGAAGCTTTCACCTGTACAAGCGCATTGTTAAAAGCCCAGACAGGACTGTGCGCTGGACTCCCCCTGGCAGAGTCTTAAAAAAATGTAAATGTGCCATTGTACCCTATTCATTCATTATTCATATGCCATTCTAACGGCTCTGATTTCTTTCATAGCGACTATCCTATGTGCCGCTTATCAAACTTTTATACATGAAGAGGCTCTTCCTTGCACTTTATCTGAGAGCCGTCAGCTTCAATCAGAGGTGGCGAGGCCGGACGGATATCCCAGGGCCGGGCGGTGAGAGAGCTGAGGATCCGCGGGCTCCCGGCTCCAAGGGCACCCAGCCGATCGGATTTTTAATTCCTTTTCCGGCGATTTCAGACCTTGTGGCAGGATCTCATTTAGAAGGATGGGACCCTATTTGCACTCGTGGCTGACGTGACCGCGATCTGGCCTTCCTCCCGAAGTGAGCCACCAAGAATTCCCGCGGCGGTTCTTCGCGACGCCGCTTTCTGTCCCTGCATCCCTGACCGGTAAACACATGGCGTGCTGAGAAACCCCTTTGGAAACGTCCTCACCTTCCTTTCTCCCCACGCCGCACGCGTGTGCTCGCCTTGGGTGCTTAATAATGCATTACTGTTTTGACAGGGGATAATCTGAAGGGCCAGGCGTTGGGACCGTATGCATCCCTCCCATCTGCCATACGCAGCAGTAGGGGGGGGGGTTGGAGGCCCGTGACAGGGAGTAATGAGTGTCATGTCCTGACCACAGAGACTTCAAGGAAAATCCCAACTTAATAAACAGCAGCGATGCTAACTAACCAATAATCCTTGAGGAAGAAGGGATCGGTGTCCAGAAATAAAACCCTGTCATCGGACAGAGGTTTCTGATTGGTCATGGCTAAAGTGAAGGTTACAAAGACCAAAGAGCGCTGCTGTCCTAATGTCCACCCTCAAGCAGAATAAGGCGCCTTCTGGGCAAATGCAATGGGCCCCTTACAGGCCATGTAATGTAGCCCACAGGAGCAGTGTAATCCACCTGGTTTGGGCATTAACTTCGCCGAACACTATTGTGCACACGGCATGGAGGGATCCCAGGAAAAAAATGAATAAACAGGGAAAGCCGTGGGAATGCATTTAAAGTGAATGAGACTGGTAGGGATTTGATAAGCGTAAGAGGACTTAACAATGGGCAAAGCAATGCTTGGTAACGTCTGCAGCACGCTGGGGGACGATTGAGACGGCGGTGGTTTTACCGGAGCTCCCGGTGGTGTAATGTATCCGTGAGAGCTGCGTCGACGGGTCGGCTTCACTCAGTCTCCCAGTGCTGTGGGTATTGGGCTTGTTTGGGATACACACGGAGTGGGGGGGGCGACCGAGGAATGTAGGGCAAACAGGCTCCTTCATCAGTAAATACAGGAGGGTTTGGACGGTACCACTATTGCTAGTGGTATCACTGTCGCAGATATAACGCAGCTAGGGCATGACTCTTTCTGATCCAGGAAACCATAAAAAGTGGCTAAAAATGCACATGAAGTTTGATTTTTTTTTTTTTTTTTGAGAAAAACCAACTCGATAAAGGGTGCTTTAACTCCTCGGAAAGATTCCTTCGGAAGTGAACGGAAAGGTGATGATAGGTTAAGCCTTCATGGGTGAGCGGCGGTTAATTTTTCTCCTGCGCGTTTCGTGATAGAAGCGACTCCAATATGGGTCAATGTGCTCCATTTCCCAGGCGGAGAGTGACGGTCAGGCGTCTCCCCTCTCCGGAGTCCTTCTGAAGGTTACCCGGCCTCAGCGTTTTCCATCTTTCCACCGACACATCATAAACGGCGGCCTGTCTAGCTAACCTCATCCTGGGCAGAGCAGCGCGGTCCTGACCAGATTCTGGGTCGCGATCCTCCCCTGACAAACCGCCTTTCCTATTCTGGGAACGCGACTTCCCAAGAGGGGAGTGTAAAGGCAACTGGGACAATTCAGTGGGACGTGGCGATAACTCAAAGTGATGATGTTCTGGAAGAGGAACTTTGTATGAACTCACCATGTTTTATGATTCCGACAACAACAAAAAATCTGTGTTGCTGACATTGCATTGAACTTTCCATAAAGCAAAGCATAAATGATCTAGCTAATCACTCCCACCTCCAGTAATAATGAGATGTGTCACGGAATATGAACATAAAATCCAATTTGTGATCATTTACATACCATGGTTAGATATACCTATGCAGTGGATGATTTTACCTGAGGCAACTATGATAATTAATGAATGACTGCATCCAGGAGAATCAGATCCTATGAAGGAGGTATCAGATCCTCCATAACTGTTGGTGCAGAATGCATTTGTAGTGACAGGACGGTACATAAGCTCCTAGCAGGATATAACTGGTCAGATCGCATGCTACTTTTGCCTGTCAGCAATCAGTTGGACTGGAACAGGATAAGGAAAAAGGCTCACCTGGGTGATATCCATGCGGGAATCGCAGCTCAGGGGCTGAGTGGACATGAGACCATTAGAACCAATTATGGTTGTTATCGTGCCTTTCTCGTTGATCTTCTGAATCATGGTTCCATCGACGAAGTAGACGAAGCCTCTCCTATCCACGGCGATACCTGGTGGGGGGGGGGGGGGGGGGGGCGACCGACTTAAATCCTAAGGCTGAGGTATGGTCTGAGGATTAGGTAGATTTAGTCGGTATCTGTTTTAAAGAAGAGGGCTGCTTTTGCATTACACAAACACAATGATGTTGTCATTAAAGAAATCGTGAAAGGGTCTGATTTGTCTGATGTCATGGAGCTCTGAAGATGATTCTTATAGATCTAAAAGAATGGCAACAGGCATTTGTAACTGACATATTATATACTGAATTTACGGCGATGAGTCTATTTTGTAATAATGAGGACGTGCATTTTCTTTAATGACGACATCATACAGTAGCAAATGCAGAAGGATTAATGATCTCCAAGTACATCATTTTTACCACAAATGAGTGCTGGTCAACTTTTAACACTCAACTATATGCCAGAATTGGTATAGTGCTGAATATAGCACTAGAGCTGATTGATTACCAAACAAATACAAGATAAAACGTTCTGTTCTCAACAATGGATATCTGTCGAAATTCTGCATGTGTCAAATGGATTTGTGTGGTGGCTCAGCTGTTAGTCCTTTATATTTCCAAAGTTATGGGCTGTATCCATGTTCACACCTGTTTTCTCCAGGTATTCTGGTTCCCTCCCAAACAAAAATGCATAGATGTATCACTGTCATCAAATTGCTCATAATGGGTGTTACTGCGTGCCCTGTGATGCGTTGGCAGCCCCTCCTGGGCATCCCCAGTGCTTCCTGGGATTGGCTCCAAGCTGACCTTCTGACCCTGACCTTCTACAGTGGTTATGGAAAATGCACGTCCTCATTTAGACTATCCCAATGCATGGACAGTCAAGGGTTATTTCCACACGATCAAAAATTCAGAGCCCTCAAGTTCAGATAGTCAAAAATAGACGAGAAATGAATTACACTTGACACGTGACACATTCCTGCTGGCCAGCCTAAGAATAATAGTACACACACTGTTGGAGGAAAGAGCGAATAACTGTGCGCATTACACAGCTCATTAACGCTTCAGTCAATGATGAAGCACTTATGAAGTGTACAGTATAAGGATCAACGGTATGCATATTCACAAACAGGAGAGAAACAAAGTTATTCCACCTGAACTCTAAATAAGAAAAATGCCCATCAAAGCAATATTTTGTATGATGTAGGCTTCCAAAAAGTCTCTGGGCCACTGCATCTAAAGTCAAACAGTTTTGACTTTCCCTGCAGTGAAAACACTGACCTTTTCTGTGCCACTAATGAATTCTGCAAGCTAAGGGGCGATGAGGGGGGAGATTGATGGCACAACGGGGCCGCACGGCTCCTGAAGAGGACAGGTGGACTGTTCCATATTCCTTCCAACCTCTTTCATCATCCACCTGGCATAGACAGATTAAGGCAGACAGACCCCCCCCACACCCTCTCCCGTTAACCCGGGCCTTCTCCCCCTCTCAGGTCCAGTCTCTGTCTGCCAGTGAGTGACCCCGACCTCTCACTGCACCCTACCCCCCCCCCCTCGCATACACAGGAGCCTGGAGTGAATACCAGCAGGGGGTAATCATGAACAGGCACTTGCGAGATGCTGCCCACGGCACTGGGGGACAGAGTCACGGCATTCCGGTCACAGGCTTTACGGGAAGCCACACTCCATTTGGATGTCATTCTTTTTTTACCTCTCCACCCCCTTCTACCAGCGCCGGGCAAAGACCTCCCAGGGGGATCGGAGATGACAACGGCGCCGCGGAAACGGAATTTCAAAGGTCACGCCTCCTTAGTGACGCTGACAGGTTGCTGGGTGACTTCAAGTATATCCATCACCGTCTTAGACCCACCTGAAACACAATATTTCAAATATGGGCTCCCATGACTTCCTGTTGCCTTGGCGTGTTTCGTTAGTAGGCTAGAAGCTGTGAATCAAGATGACTACAAGGAGCATGTTGCTTTAATTCATGCCATTTAACGTGCCCCAGTCTAAGACCGCAATAGTTTATGGGACCAAATTAAATTCATGAGACTGAACGAAGCCTTTGGCTAGTTTCCATCAATATCTGTGATGGGACACGTTCACAATGAGTGCCTGTCTTAGTGTCTCCATCTCATTCTATGCAACAGTTATTTCTCAGTAATTAATGTGACTGCTAATCTCCTTCTCATTAAAATATGTCGCTATCGGGAGACAGAATTGCCTCCGTGACTTTATAAAATGCATTTTTTTTAAAGATCCATCTCTGTGCTGGAAGATAAGCCCAAGCGCTGCCATTTCTGCAGTGGTCGCAACTGGTTTGGCTGAAACCCGTATCTCTCACCAAAATCGTAGCCTGCCCGCATTCCTATAAAAGCAGATTCATTGCAGACCTCATAGTACGCAGCACGCAAATGGCTCTGTGAGTGCCGAGGGAAAATCTATTACCGCATGTGGGACGGGCTAACACCTGTGATTACATGCCCCAGTGTTCAAATCACTCCCAACGATTTTGAGATTTCTCCCCCTGCAATTTTACATTTCACGGTCCCATTCTGTTTCGCGCAATCCAAGCCAAGCGTTGTGAGGAAACTGAAATGAATTCAAAAAGTTCTAGGAAGTTGGTGCAAAAAATATATAAAAATCCAAACCCAAAGGCACCAGTTAATGGAAGCTTAATGCTCTACGGCTGTAAGAGGAAGTCGAAGTTCCACACGGTTCATATCCAGCATATATAGCCTTAGAATTCTCGGTAACATTTTCCTTAAGGCCACGTTTTTAGTCATTTATAAACACATTCCTAATGCATTATAATGCATTCATAAAGCATTGTATACATGTCTATAAATATTTATCAAAGACATAATGCATTATGGGCAACTGTATTATGCATTTTGAATGCTTTATGAAGCTCTCATCTATTGTGCATTATAGATACCTTTATAATGCATTATAGTGGTTGGTGTAAAAATTAAGGATGCTTTGTACTGCATTATAAAAGTATCTATAGTGCATTATAGATTCACAAGGCAGTCATAATGCATAATGCACACAGCTATAATATATTACGGGTTTTTATAAATATTTATATCTATGTTTATAATGCTTTATGAATGCATTATTATGCATTATGAATGTGTTTATAAATTACTGAAAACATGGCCTTAGGTAAAGTGTTACCAAAATCAGTGAGATTCACACTGCCAAGTAATTCTAGCAAAACATAAGCAGATTTCTTGTTTATTCCTCTGCTGGGTCATTCACATCACAACACAGCACCATTTTCGTGGAAATAATTCAGAAGTCTTCGATGAAATCTGTCAAAGCACGTTTTAATTCTTCATTTTATACGTATGTACATGACATGCTGTCAGAGAGTATTTTGCTCCATACCTTCAGAGACGCCACGCTCAGCCATGTTTTCCTCCACCAGCAGTTCTGTCCGCTCTGAGCCCCCCCACTCGCTCGCCAACCTGCCATCGTGTTTCTCACTCTCCCTTCAGGCGTGATGGTGCAAAGTATCGATCTCTCAGCAATCGTGCAGATTCCTCCCAATAAATGTCATATCCTACAGCTTTCCAAAATCATTTCCTCTTGTTTGTATTTATTTGGCAGATGTAAAAATGAGATAAATAATACTTGATAAGTTTAAAGCCATGAAGGAGCCAAGTTTGGAGAGAGATTACTTTAGGAGCGAAACGTGTGTCTCACGGTCAATGCGTCAGACTTGAGAGCCCTGCCTACCGAACTGATCCAATCTTTCTCTTCCATTTCTACATTTTCTGGCATCTGTGCGCATCCATGTAATAGCGTGCTTGCAGCGGGATCACATGTAACTTATTTAGGAATTTACCTGGAAACAACAAATGCTATTTTATGATTGGCTTGTATATGGTTATTAACTCTGCATAACTCAGGACAGCTATGACCTCGGCGGAAAACTCCACTCCGTGCATCATCCATTAATTCTACATAACGGGACCCTTACTTCAGTGTGGCATCCCCTTCTGGGCATCCCCAGCGCTTCCTGGGATTGCGATCCGTGTGTCTCACGGTCAATGCGTCACACTTGAGAGCTCTGTGTAAACCTTCAGTTGCTTAAGCTGCCATTGCTGGACGAAAAAAAATACATGTAACATCTAATTACTCTGTAACATCACACATGGTAATGATAATAATTAAAAGGGGGGGGGGGGGTCACGATTTAAGAAGTGATCACAGGAGGGGGTGTTCAGGAATGGGTTCTTTTCAGGCCCTCTCTGGCATGACTGTGCGTTTCCACTCATTTAAACAAATGGCCGACGAAACGCTCAAATTAAATTTGCTGGTAACAACGCGATTACCAACGCAGTGATGAGAAAAGGAATGATGGTTATGTGCTGTATAATTTAATAATGCAAATTGTTGTGTCTCTTTTTTAATGTATTGCCCTCGAGAGGGACACAGATGCGGAACTTTATGTAAAGAATTATACCCCCCCACCCATACAAACACAAATACATATCCCACTTCACTGGTTTTTAAGGGGTTGTTGAGTCACCCAATGATTCCTCTGGGAATATACATGGGAGGTGGATTTAAAAAACAGAAGGGTGCCTTGTTTTTAAAAAAACTCCAGTTTCAGTTTCAGAAATCAAACAGACAAACACTTAAATGCCCAGAAATACATCTTTCATTACGGCATCCTAACTTACAGAAGCCATGGATTTGCTGACACTTTGAGCAGAAGCTCTTTTTTAGCTATCTGAAGGGAAAAAAACGCTGTTATGCGTTATCTCTAGGGAGATAACCAAAATACATGCTTCAGGTCACATTTTGGAACATGGTACGATTTCATGACGCGGCGCAATTCGACACGATACCATCACCTGCTTTGGCCGGATTTGCTGACTAGTATCGTATTCAGTCATCATTCGGACCTTCTGCAGAACGTAACACAGGAAGGACGCCTCCCTGCTTAATTTAATTAGCATCCAGTTATTAGCTGATGAAGTCTGCCTCATTGTTGGACTCTTTAGAGATACAAAAAAAAAAACAGGAAACACAAGGACG